ACCCACATTACCAGCATTACAATCACAGAAAATTCGACACTCAACGGTCACAACAAGCCATTTTCCAAGGCGTCCTCAGGGGCGACCAGTGGAAGAGATCAAGGTGCACGGTACGTGCGCGGTGGTGTTTTCAATGAAGATGGATAGGTTAAGCAAGAGTACTGGTTCTACCAACAAAATGGCGATTTAACTGAAGATGAATGGGGATATTACTTAAGTTGATATTTGGGTGAAGAAACCATTTTAGTGTCTTAAACAATTAGATCAAAAACTCCCAACACTATGTTGTTTCAGACACACCCAAATGGAGATTGAAGATGCTTGAAACAAGAAAAGACATAGATTTACCTGGAGAAGAATGTGTTTTTGAGCCGACAACAAAACAATACAGATTGAAGCTGCAGAATCCAGCTAAATGAATACCGCAGTACCCACTAGTCACTATATATAGTGCGTTGACATGTTGCTGGGGTCATTCAACTGACCAGCATTTTTTGTAGGGAATCTATGAGTTAAACCCAGAAAGCCAGAAAAAGATGATGTTCACTAGAAATGGTTGGTTTTAAGGTTGTTATACCGTAGAAACAGGGAAACCTTTGGTGGTTGAAGCAAGACGTCCCCGATCAGTGTGTTATTCCTTCTACAAGCTGAGGTATAACCCCACAAACAGTCACCAGTTCTTAAATGTGCTTGTTTGATCATTTATTTAGGACTTAGATGGTCAAATCATCATGTTTACCATAGAAAAGAAAGCAGATTTCGGATATCACCCATTTTTGGACAAACCCAACGGCGATTGAGCATGAATGAATCCACAAGAACTAGGAAGTTACAGATAGAGGACAGTGATTGATTCCTCTGGGAGGTTCCAAACTAGAGAGCGAGAGAGAGTGAGAGATCCAAACAAAGAAGGTACCATCCCAAAGTATTCAAAATTCATCAACCAGGAGTTTACTTCCCCAACCAGCGGCTCCATTGGAGGCAATCAAAATGCAGAACCAGAAAGCTGAAGGGTTTCTTGGATGACCCATGCTGACTCAACATGATCAGGGTTGATATATGGGTCGATGGGGATGAAGAAGTAGATCATTTGGCTCGTGGTTTTCAAGATATCTAAGATATTGTTTTTTATCAATCATATCTTGGTTGATTTTCCCAACATATACTGTAATTTGTTTGGAGGTAATATGTTTGGGCTTGGGGGATGAAACGACTAATCTAGTTTGTTTGGCAAAACCTGCGCCCTTGAATTCTTGAATTTCCATGAGGGGACACGGTCCGCTGCCCTGAATTCCATGGCTTTCCTATGATGATAGCGGCCGTTTTCCCACTGAATGTCATTGACTTGATGTCGTTTACTGCTACTTTCTGATTCAGATGGATGATCCAAGCCCTTTTGAGATGGATTTCCTACGCTAACATTTTAGTCACACATGGCCTCTACCATCTATAAAATGAATACCTACATTGGCAGACAGAGTGGTCACTAGCAATGTACACGTTTTAGGGAAAGCCAAGTAAGGGACCAACGAGTTGGTTGCTATGCTAGCTGGCTGCGAGTTGAACTGGTGGACGTCGTATGGTGATTTCCTTTATGTATATGTATATTATAAAAGATGTTCGCTGCAACCCTGACGTTGCGCCGCGTCTGATTTCAGGTGGCTATGAAGATAAAGTTGATGTTTTTACCCCAGTCAACATAGTGTTCATAGGGGGTGGCGAGTTTTGATCCCTCATGGAAATATAGTTGATGTTATATTTTACACCAGTCAACATATTGTTCATAGGGGGTGGCGAAATTCGATGGCTCATGGAGATATAGTTGATGTTATTACCCCAGTCAAAATATTGTTCTGAGGGGATGGCGAATTTTGACCCCTCATGAAGATAAAGTTGATGTCATTACCCCAGTCAACATATTGTTCAGAGGGGTGGCGAATTTTAATGTTATGATGATCATGATGTGATGATGTGATGATGATGATGATGACGATGATGAGCATGATGATCATGACGATTGAAAGTGTGGAGCAACGTCCGGGTTGGGGCGAAGATGTTATTACCCAGTATATGATATAGTATCCCTATGGATCCAAGTGCCTTCTTATGCCTTCTTAGGAAGTGTTTGGGGTATGATTTAGGGGGTTAAGTACCTTCTCAGACAGTGGTTGGATCCATAGGGTATATAGTGTTCTTGGTTTTTCCAAAAGCATCAACAATCCAGTGCCAAAACCTCGGGAATCTCCTCGACGGATAATCTTAGTTGGTGTCATGTGCAACTCCAGTCCAAAGCCCCTTGTCCAATTGCGATGCAACCCTATTGCTCATGGTTTCAAGACCCGCATTGGCGTTTTCCGCTGAAAGGTTTCTGGTGTCTTTGAAGTGTGGAACCTATAGGCATCCTTGCGAGGGAGATGGGTTGCTGCTTGCGGCGGTCGTTGGATAGGGGACAAGAGCCAGCCAATAAGGAATGTGCCGAAGGTTGTGTCACTTTTCTATTTGGAAAGCTCTCCAGTCTTGATCCGTGGCGTTTTGTGGCTAAAAGATAAAACTTCAAAATACATTATTATTAATTATTGACTTGTTTTCAGTTATAAAGCCACGGGTAGAAGTAGGGTTCCGCATGATTATTCCACTTGTCCGAATCATTTCCCACCCCTTTGAGCAACTTTTTACTAAGATCTGAAATCGCTCCAGTAGGCCCAACTATAGCGAGTTGCTGAAGAACATTGACACCAGCGCAATGACGCAGAGCGAACGGGTCGCTAGTCCGCATGGCAGTTCCATTACTTGCTAGCCAAGCCTGTCTATTAGATGCTTTTCTTTAGCCAGTTAGATAACTAGTCATGCCATTAATTAATTGGATATTCCAGTCACTATGTTGTCACATGCATATTCTTAGTTTAGTTCTTGAAGAATGCAGGTCAGAGTGCGCTGCAAGAAGTGGCAACCAACATGATGAGCCTGTGTTTCTTCTGGAATCATATAGGTGATTATAGGTAAACACCATATAAATATCATATCCATGTACCATATGTGTATTTATATATATATATGGTTTTACATATATACAAAAAGCTAGCCATATATATAAAAATATGTATTTATATTTTAAACATGTATACCGTATACCCATAGATGTCAAACCATGATATAATATATAATTTTATAATTTGTATATATATATATATATATTTATAAGTTTATATTACAGATATGTGTGTGTGAAACGTCTGAAGAGACGTAAAACTTGATCATATTATATTATATTGTATTTAACCTTAAAGCAGGGGGTCACCGGGGTCTTGGGGGGGTCGGTGACGAACGAAGACACCTGCCCAGGACCGGTGAAAACGTACCTGCGGGACTGTGGTGGTGCACCTGGGCGCATTTAAGTCGCAGCTGGTGGCCACCATAGTCCCATACATATATATATATATATGTTTTGTAATCCTATCTAATTGCATGTGATGGGATTCGGTTCCCGACGGATCACTTAAATTATCCTTTCTTGTCTAGTGTGATTTCCATGGATTCCATGGTGACTCCGACATGGTGCCATGGAGCCAAGTGAGTCAACCCTGTTTAGGGTGAATGAGGACTGACTTGACTACCGAATTTACACATTTTAATCTGGTAATTCGTCTAAGTAAAGTGAAACCGTCGGCTTTTCTGTTTTTTCACCGTTTTGCGATGTCCCGCGGTTCCTGTCGTCCCTTAAATTTCCCTGGAAGTTGCCTCTCTTTGTGCTGACAGTTTTTTCACTGATGCTCAAGCTTGTGCAACAGCACACAACATGAAAGGCAGGTACACGCTTTCCAGGTGTGGTGAGTTCTTTGTTTTGATAGTTGTTTGGTGACGTAAAACTTTTCGTGCATCTAATTCGCTTGAACCTGAACAGCTGTTTATGCCCATGTGGCTTGACTTGACTACCGTTCCTTTTTGGGAATAACGCACGACCTTCTAGGAACGAACTGAATCCCATTTTAATTGTTGTTGGTTTTTCTTCTCCACCAACTAGTTCCCCATTCGGTCCCTTATTTCATGCGTTCTTCCCTTCCCAGGTAGGTCGGGTCCTGTGCGTGCCGAGGTAGGCGTACCGAGGTAGGCGTAGGTTTCGCTGCGTTAGGTTCGGCCTCCGCTTTTTTTCCTTGCCCTTTCAGGGTTTGCCGGCTTCGGGCCAGGTGTGTCGGTGTTGGTGTTTGCTCTTTCCCTCTTCTTTTGCGTTCCCCTCCTCTGGTCCTGGTTAAGTAATTCTTCATCTCATTTTCACTCTCATCTCATTTTCATCCCCCCTTTCATCCTCACCTCCATATCATCTGCAAGGACACCACCCTGCCAAAGGCAGGGTGTGTGTGTGTGAAACGTCTGAAGATACGTAAAACTTCATCATAATTATATTAAATATTATATTTAACCTTAAAGCAGGGGGTCGCCGGGGTCTCGGGGGGGTCGGTGACGAACGAAGACACCTGCCCAGGACCGGTGAAAACGTACCTGCGGGACTGTGGTGGTGCACCTGGGCGCATTTAAGTCGCAGCTGGTGGCCACCGTAGTCCCATATATATATATATATTATATATATATATTATATATATAATATATATATATTTTTATATATTTAATATATAATATATATATACTATATATATATTATATATATATAAACTATAAACCTAATCTTATTGCATGTGATGGGATTCGGTTCCCGACGGATCACTTACATGTTCCTTTCTTGTCTAGTGTGTGTGTGTGCGTTGACTATACCACAGTCCATCAGTAGATCATTGCCACAGTCCATGGCTCCCAGTTAGTTGGCTTACTTGCTGCCACGCCCCAAGGGGTCAAGATTGGATCCCAAGTTGCATACTATTCTTCAACCATCAACACAATTCCACCATGCCCACCCCAAAAAAAGGCGTTGTAAAGTCGATGCATCCATGGTAGCAGCGGACATCTGACGATCATCGGACTTTTGGGGGTAGCTGCGACCCAAGGAAATGGCCGAAAAGGCCAAGGAATTGCAAGATCGCATCACGGCAACTGCTGGGAGGGTCCTGATAGAGTTGAACTGGCCCGGGAATGGTTTAAATATTTCAAGTGTAGCTTTCCGATAATCCATGAGCTTTTCGCTGAGGCGAAGGTGGCCAGTGAATATAGGGTTATGTTCCCACGAACTGTGGTCTAGGATGCATGACTGGATTTGCTTCCCATGGTTTGTGCAATTTGGCCGAGATGATTGTTTTTTCCTTGTCAGCAGGACTCTTGCCCTGGGTGTTTTCGCCCTTCCTACTGGTTCTATGTCTGTTCTACTCCACCCTTGTGTAGTTTTGCTTGCCCTACTATTAATTTATGATAGGGAAAAAACTTCTAGACAAGAGAGAGGGAGACTGCACGTATTGTTTTTCCACAACCCCATAGCAACCCTGAAGAACACATCAAATTAGGAAACCTGGAAATTTTTGGAGAACATTTGGATTTACAAAATCTTTTTATCACCAGTTGGATATTTGCATGATATCTAGAATTAACCTACTAATTACAGATGTAAGATAATAACCAATTATAATCAATTATTGCCATAAACTATTGATATGTACATATTAAAACCATTGTATACTAATTATTCACAACCATCAACTAATGAATATAACTTATAATTATAACCATTATATGATTGATACCATAGACTAGTGAATGATTCGTTGAACTCCTCCCTTGATCCGCTTCCCCCTGCCCGCTGAGGCGTCCGTGAACTCTTGCAGCGCAAGGAGCGCTTGGAAGCAGCGGCCAGGGAGGTCTCCGATGTGCCGGCACCTGGGCATAAGGTGTGTAGGATCTGTGGTCAATATGATATCTATGAATCTATAGTTGGTTATCACATCTATAGTTAATTATATAGTTACTATAATCTATAGTTAATAATCTTACTATACGGTAGTACTTCGTTTCACATGATCCCACTTAGACATTACACCTATATCATATCTGTAGTAGTTAAAGTATGTTAAAGTATGTTAAAGTAATAAGATCCCAAAACTTCTACTGCTACTTCCGCCCAAGGCGGCTTTGTGGGACAGTCCGTCGGGTCGCACCACCTGCGATGACAGCCACGTGGTTGCTACCGGAGATTTCGATTTAGCCGTTAACAAGGAGATTGAACCGACCAAAATTGGTGATTTGTAGATTGTAGATATATGTTGGCTAAGATGCTAAGTTGGTTTATAAGTTTCTTGGTGGGTTTTATCGGAAATTACAGTTGTATCATTAACATTAATTAGCTGCTTAGCTACAGTGTATGGAGGTTATAAACCAACTTATAACCGGGGGCCCACCCGGTAGGCCACACATGACCATACCATTTGGCATGAATTCAGCATCCTATCTAGTGACAATAAAATTATCAACAACCGAAGATTGGCTATCCCTTTGCACATTTCATCACCTTGTTGAATGTGTGGAGTTCCATACATATATATATACATATATATATATACATATATATATATATACACACTGTATATACGGTATATATGATAATACATATATGTTCCATGTAAAATTGGGTGCCATGATGATTGCTATAGCCCATTCCTGGGAGGGATGAGGGGATGACGCGACAACCGACCTCTCCCGGTTGCTACCGAGGCAACCGCAGTTCGAGCTCCAGCTCATGGATTCCGAGCGCTTGAAATGAGGATCATGTTGATCAGGTGAAAACATGTTTTTTAACCCATCAAAATGGCGATTTATAGTTGATTTATGTTGGCGAATTCAGGTTGGCTAATTTTGATTCAGCATGGTTCAACATGATTTGCCATGAAACAGGTTAACAAATCATGATGAAGCCACGAATCGCCATGATCTGCGATATTGTTGATTCATCACCGCCAGCAGCAACATCATGGTGATTATTTAATGTATCCTACATCATCATCATCATCACCATCATCATCATCATCATCGACATCATCATCACCACCACCACCACTAACAGCACCTGCAATGCTGTATCATCACGATGTTTCGGAACGATAGTCCCATACAGAGAAGACGCCCAGCAAATGAAATAGCGTCAGATAGCAGGGTGTGGGTCAAATCCCTTGACTGTTCTTGGGCTCGTCTGAAACCAACATTTGATGAATCATCATGTCCGCCATTCAAATGACATATTCAAATGGTATCCCCCATTTAAAGAAACCCAGCGGCATGGTGATGTTACAACAATTCGCAGGATGCAGTTGGATCTTTCAAGATCCACATCAACCCAAAAATTGCTCGCTAAGTTCGTTCATAATTGAGTCAGGAATTTTTGATATTTATGGTAGGTATATCTATTATTTATTCTATAATTATAGGTTTATATCTATATTTATTCTATAATACATTCATAATTATAGGTATATCTATGATTATCATATTGTTATTTCGGTTTTTAAATACCAACTTATGGCCCTGTTGGACCACTGTCATTGCTCATGTCTTGTCTTGCACCTCTTCAGCGGTGGTTTAGTTGATCTATGTTTACCTATTCCCCAACTTTGCTGGTGTTTGTACTTTACTGTACTTTATGTTGGTCATTGTTTGTCAAATTTCTGTGACAACTGTTTGTCGCCAGTATGGTTACTGTTCCGTAGTCCACATTTGTCCACTGCGTGAGCCCTTCCAGCGATTTGACCCACGCGACCAATTTTCACCTCAAGGGTCAGTAAGTTTGCATGGCTGGCGGAACCAAACGGTTTCCGCATCGGCGCCTTCCTGACGGGGTTTGGCCCAGCCAGGGCCAGGGTCAACGGTCACAGAAACTGCCACGAAATTGGAAAAAGGGGATGTGCTGCAGGGGGAACCATGGCGAATGGGTTGGGGTTGTTGAGCCATAAAGGGCAGTTGCACAAGGAAAAACAAAACATACCCTCTGGTAAACTAACGTAGCTATGGAAAATCACATTTTTTAATGGGTAAATCCACTATAAATGGCAATGTTCAATAGCAAACTGTTAGTTTACCAGAGGGTATATCTCAATAATCCTTGGTGAAGGGTTGAGGGCCAGGACTGGAGCAGCAGTTCTTTGCGGCAATAGCCGACCATGCCCCGGATGAACGTCACAGCTAGGAATCTGGTAACAATTTACTTGACCCACCTTTGAGATATCTTTGAATTATCTAAGTAAACTGACAAGTCTAAGTCAATGGTTGATTTGGGTTCATTCTTAGCCATTGGGAATTGTTTCCTCCCACCAAAGGTTGAATTGTTAAAAGGGGTACAAGATGATGCCCACAACTTATAAGCTGGTTGATAAACATCATGGACTATACTATACTACAGTTATTATACTCGAAAAATATGGACTAAATCATACGCATATATATAGTTCATTGTAAAGACGTCTCCTGATGGGGTTGTTTGGTTACTTTGGGCTCAAGATGAAAACAGGCCGCAGCTGTTGCCTCGGGTGGTCGCGTCCTGTTGTTTTTCTAAACCCACTTTTATTTCGGTTGGTTTTAGACGATTCAAGTGGTTATCAGCCGCATCGGCGAATCTTTTCATGAGGGGTCCCTGTAAAACCCCTCGTCCATGTGTGATCGCTCTTGCTCTCGGAGCCGCGTTGGAACTCGTCGGGGCATGCGGGGCAGAGGAGCAGCTTGCAGTAGGCTGACATACCTGTTGCTCACTCTAGTGGGCAGCAGCGTCCATTGTATACTCCGGCGACTTGGGAGCCTGAGAGCGGTGATGAAAAGAGATTGATCAAACTGAGTATACACAAGATCCTTTGACCTATCCATCAAGGCCTCTTTCTCAGTCAACTTCGGAAGCCACTCGCTTGATTCCAAGGGCTAAAGTTGTTGCGGAGTCATCATCAGCTGCTGGCCAATCTCGTGTAGAATCTTCGGGTCCACCTGCGAAGTCATCTTCGGTTACGATCACCATGGCGAATCCGCTTTTGAAATCGGCTCCGAAGGTTCAGGCAGCATCATCTTCGAAAGGATCATCAACTCCGAAATCGACTGCGGCTTCGTTTTCGCAGGGGTCAGGTTTTGTTAGACTTACTGTGGCATCATCTTCAAAGGGCTCTGCGAAGTCAAAGTCTGTCGAAGGGGGCTCATCGTCGGAGGGATCTGCATATCCCAGGTGTATTGACGTCTCATTTCTTCAGGGAGTGAAGTGCTGTTTTTTGACTCTCAGAACAACTTGGTTGAACAGCAGCTTTCGACGAATCCAGTGGTGTCTGGCAGAGTTGTGGCAATTGATTGGCACCAAGTCACTGATACTTACCGTGAATCCAGATTCAAGGCGTTCCGTGCTGATTGGGAAACAGGTGAATTGCCTCAATCGGTTCTTGACGTCTATCATCGGACTGCTCACAAGTGTGGACAATTTGACAAAGTAATTATCTTGTCCCATATTGAGAAGAGCGAAAAGAACCTGGCGTTTCTCCTCAAGTCCACTCGGGTAAATCGTCTGCCTGTAGATCTGGTTTTTGTATCAGGGACCAGGACTGGAAGTGGGGGCAAAGCAGCTGTATTACAGGCTCCTTTGGGTGGACGAAGTCTTGCACGATCAATTTTGCTTGACGACAACCTGCAGGTTTGTTCTGAGATTCTGATTCTGTATAGGTGGCATTCCTTTGAACATCATGCAAGACTCAACGAAGGGAGCACTGCCCTGGCCGATCTGCTTGGAACACCGTTGATCATTGATCCATTGCAGTTTGACGAAGAGTTTTTGATCAGTGATAGGGTTCATCTGTGTCTATCATTTTGAGACTTTCATCCGTTGCAGGTAGAGTATACTCCATAGTTCTCCCAGTTTCTCGAATTGTGGTTAGGCCGCCCTTAGGCTGCAATTGCGCCTCCACTTCTTGGAGTTGGCCTGAAACTCCTTGTCCGTTTGAAGTGATTTAATTTGAAGATTTCCTCTCAATTTGCAATTCGTCTAGCATCATGCGATCTGCTTGAAGCATTTCACCAGCCGATACCTCGGACTTTCATTGTCTTTTCTCACTTCACACGTTTGGCACGTCAATTGGTTTTGATTCGGAACCCTTGGATCCTAATATCGGCACCGTGCTTGCGGATCTCAAGGTGTATCACCACGTCAGGTACCGAACTTTCATTTGGATTGTGCCAGTTTCGTTTGAAAGCACCCGATAAGTTTCCAAAGAGACCATTTGTCTCGAACATCCGTCAGGCAATCACTTCATTTTCCGAGCTTGTCTCTAAGAGATTTGAGTTTGACTGTGTTCTGGTTGGGTCAATCCAGAAATCAGTGCACCATTTCCACAGCTAGGCTGCATTGCGCCACTGGGATTCGTGTGAAAGGAGCAGGTTGGTTTTGGCCCTGGGTGTTGATGTCATCGGGTCCAACTGATCCAAGTTCGTGACTTTTGAATTTGTCATCAGACTCTATATGGAAGTTCCTCCGTTGGTAGCTGGGGCTGGCAGTAGAAGTTCGTCAGCCTCCTCAACTGGGCATAGGGTGGGCAACACAACCCGCAGAGATAGTCAGGGTAAACCTTTGGCCATCAAAGACGCGCATGGGAGAACTTTGGTTTCAATGAATCCAGCCAAGGGGGGTTCCCGTGACTTGGAAATGGGTCCGACGCCAGAGGGTTCTCCAGGTCGTGAGGGTGTAGCCCAATCAATCCACCACTCCATTCTGCATGATGATAGAACTTAGACACTTCATCTTGGAGTTAGTCTTCAGGATTTGGGGGCAGCTGTAGCAGAAGCTCAAGGTCTTTTGGATGAATCTCGAACTCGTGCGTTGCATCTTGAAGGTGTTGTTCAGGAAATCCATGATAGAGTATGTGAACAGATCCAACAATTGAAGAGTATGGTTGAATCCTTGTACCAAGCGTGTCAGTCCAAGGATCAAAAAATCTTTGGTTTAACCAATGACTTGGGCACTCTTCAAAATGAAGTGACATTGGTTCAGAGCCAACTGCAAATTCAAGTTTCCAAATGTTCAGATTACGAAAGGATCCTTGGCCATAAGAATAGTGAAATCAAAAGGTTGATGACCGAGTTGGATGTTGTGAATCAATCCCTGGTTTCTTTACGGGAAATGCGTGAGCAACCGGAGGCGAGTTTGGCTGCTTCAAGCGCCTCTCGCATTGGAGACAGAGCTGAAGAAGTTTCGGTGCCTGTCTGTCAATCAGTTCAGCCGGTCGTCGTTGAATGTCAAAGTACAAATAATCCCATTCTTGAAGCATTTCCATCTTTGTCAGCCAATGCCAGTTCATCTACATGGCCGAAATGGAGCGGGTGCCTCGTCTCTCCCCTCCAGTGGTTTGCCAATTCCAACCAAGGGTTATCCCAATGAGCCCTTTGGGGTTGATGCTGGTGATGAAAGTGATGATGAAGAAGAATTGATTCAAGATGGTTCCCCACAACTACCGAAAGAGAAATCGTTGATTCCAGCGCTTTGCGTAATGCCAAAATCGATCCCATTCCATCCACAGCTGCGGACTTTAGAAGTTGGAAAACAGTTTGATTTTGCTTATGGGTCGTTTGGATATTAGTGGGTCAGATTATTTGACGTCCTAGATTTCGCATGCCTTCAAAGTCAACACAGCTGAGTTTTGTGCTGGTTCATCCGAGCTTGTTCCACGTTTGGATCGTTGGCTGGCTTCTGAACTTATCAAAGGGTTGAAGGGCGTTGCAGATTTGCAATTCAAGGTGCAAGGTTATGTCGAGCGTTGCGCTCGTGAAGGGACCGCTCCTCGCGGTAGTGCAGTGCTTCAGGTGATCTCTCGTCACTTTCACTTGGATCGTGTTCGTGGATCTTTGATCACTTCTCAGTCCATCTTTCAGGTGGACTTGCATGGCCTCAGACTTGCAGGAATTCTCAGCCCAGGTCATGAATGTTATCAATAGATACAATAGCATTCATGATCAATGGCCAAATCAGCGAATGCTTGGAGAGTTCTTGTTGCATAAGTTGTGATCTTGTTCCTGAGTGTCCACCAGACGTGTTTCCTGAAGATGTTCCTGCTGAGGACGAGGATCCCATTCATGGAGTCACATCAGGTGTGGCAGTTACTGCAAGTATTGCTTGCGATGCGGCTACAGTGTTGCCTCGGGATCATGTTCAAGAATTGTTTCAGGAATCTTTTAATCAGAGCATAATCAGGGGGTCAGTTCGGTTGCCTTGGCGACACAGCGACTCCAGAGAAGAAGAATCCGAAGCATAGTAGAGGTAAGCATAATCGTGTTGGCACAGATGTTTTGTTTGAGTTCGCTTGTGCCAAAGATTCAAATCTTGGAAAGGTTGGACCAGAGCATGGTGAGAGTCGTTCGCTTGTGCAAGGAAGACATTGATTTGGAGAATCCTCATGGGCTGGTGCTTTACCAGGGTGTTCCATCCATTGTTCCGTCGAATGCAAACCATGGTTTCAATGGCAACATTTGAATCAAGCAAAATATACCCAAAGTTGACAGCACGAATTTGTCAGGAAAGAGCAGAGAGCGAAGCAGTAGTTCCACAATTCATTCGGGTTGCAGATGTTTGTCTTGACAATGGTAGTGCGACCTTCAATGGGTGCGCAGTCGGAGTTGAAGCTGACGGTCAGCCAGCAAAGAAGCCTTGGAGGTTTGTCACATCTTCACTGCGCTTGGCCACGCATCTTGCTGCATTAAAATGTACTCACAGTAGTCATGCGCCACGTCAACGTACATGGACTAGGATGTCAGCGTTTTACCAGAAACCACTGTGCAATTTGATGATCAGTTCTCTGTTTCCCTATTTTACCAATAGACACGTTTTCAGCATGCCGTGTGTTGCTCGCTCACGGCAACCACATCACCAGAAGCTTGTGAAGGGCCATCTGGATGTCATGAAATCAGAACTCCTGCCTGTGTGCACAAATCACTGGATCGCACTGAGTGGAAGAGCCATCCAGCTCTCAAAGCCATTGAGAATTGAGAAGCAAGGTCTTCTTGCCAATGGGACGTGGGACGAGCCCAACATCGTCCAAAGTCCTAGATCTTAGCTACTATGGCAAAAATCATCAGGTAAAAAGATTCATATAGGTCATGGTTATTGTGAGCATCAAAGCTATTGAGAAGCTGTCCATCGAATGGATTGTCAAAGCCCGAATTGTGTTTCGGGGAGACGCTGTCAGGGATGAAGAAAATCAAGCGGCAGTGTTCGATGACATTGCAGCCTCAGCTCCTACCAGTCTTGGTGGGCTTAACCTGATAGTGGCTTATATGGACTTCTTGATGGCAACGAAACCACCACCAGCGATTGCATCAAGGCCTGCGTGCAATCTATTTTGAGTTCCTCCCAGCCTACTTATGTGCTTTTACGAGTTGGTTCAAGATCATGCTAAGCATATCCATCAGCCTTGCGCTCCACTTATCAAATCATTGTTTGGCCATCCTTTGGCCAGCGCGTCTTGGCAGAACCATCTCTCCAAAGTCCTTGCTCAAGAATTAGGTGGGGTTGAATTTGAGCAGCTCCCATCATGCTTTTCCAAGTCTGCGATTGGATCGATTGGCATTGTCAGTTTATGTAGATGATTTGACGTTGTCAGGTCCTTGCGCCAATCGTTCCAAGTTTTGGGATGTCTTGCGAAAAGTTGTGCAGCTTGAAGATCCAGCACCACTTTCGAAAGTGTTGGGTAGAAGTCACATCAAGCATGATGGAGGTTTAGCGCTTCACCCCGCCGATTTTGCAAGGCAGTGTGTCAACCTTTTCGAAGAACTTTCAGGCAAACCTGTGAGACATGCTCTCACTCCTCATGTGGATGAAGGGAGCCTTTTGGCTACTGATCAGGCTGACAGAGGGCAGTTATCCAATGTTGCCGCCAAGCTTGTGATGAAGTTCATGTGGCGTGGTTGTATCAGCAGACCAGGCTTGCTAGTTGCGATTAATGTTTGTGCAGGTCATATCACCACATGGACCGTAAATGATGACAAGCGTATGACCAGACTTGCTGGCTATGTAGCTGCGACTTTGGACCATTGCCACTGCCACATCATGCGCATTCATGACAAGCCTTCTGACTTGAGATTGTGTTTGTACGCAGATGCTGACTTTGGCAGTGCACCCGACATAATCAACTTCAGGGTACCTGCTTGCGCTTGACGGTCCTCAATCCTTTGCTTGAATTTTGTGGTGTGCTAAAAGGCAGCGTGCTGTATCCCGGTCAACAACAGAGGCCGAGTTTGTATCGTTGTCGACATCGCTTTTGACTGAGGCAGTTCTATTGCTCGAAATTTGCCAGCATCTCATCACTCCTGAGATTGTGTTGAACTGTTACGAGGACAATCAGGCCGTTCTCGCCATCATTGCCCGTGGGTTTCTCAAGTTACGGCATTTGAGCAAGTTTCATAAGATCAACGTTGCTTCTACCTGCGAGGCTTTCAGCGAGCCTGGCATTAATGCAGAATACGTTGAAACGCTTAATCAGCGAGCCGATGTTCTCACAAAGTCACTCAAGACATGAAGCTTTCATCTCCTAAGTGAATTTTGCATTCCGTATGCATTCCGGATCCGTTTTTTGACCGATGGCATCAAAACCCTGACCTTGTGTTACACTGCAGTGTGTAGTGGGTGTGACTAAGTCCCATCTGCCTTTGTTCTCATAGGTTTTCTTGATTTTGGGTAGTCGCTTCCTTGAATTTCCTTTGGACTGTCACTGTCTTTCATCCAATTTGCCCGTGGATGTTCGGCTGCGTTAGCGCCTCCTCCGTGTGTATCGTTCCGTTTAATGCCGCGGTTAGCTGCTCTGCGCCACCTCTCAAGCATCCGTTTAAGTGTAGTTTAACTAATACATCCGCGCAGTAGTGCATGAAATCGCCAAGCATGTCGGGATCACCGAATCAATTTCTGCCATCTCTTGACTGGAATCCATCTTGAAGAGCTGTGAGACTTGCATTCGGCCGTAGGCGCCACGAGCAGAATGCATTTTTCAGACAACCCTTGTACAGTTCACCATCAGGGGGGACTTGAAAAAGATGGGCTAAATCATACCCATATAGTTCATTGTAAAGACGTCTCTTGATGGGGTTGTTTGGTTACTTTTGGCTCAAGATGAAAACAGGCCGCAGCTGTTGCCTCGGGTGGTTGCGTCCTGTTGCTTTTGTAGACCCCCTTTTATTACGGTTGGCTTTAGACGATTCAAGTGTTATATGTCATTATGAACTTATGATAGTTATGATAGTTATGATATGTCATAGTCACCAGAAACCCTTTACACGTATACGATGCAAGTTGTGACTCACCGGGGCACCGCCACAACGGCCAGGGAATGGGAGACGATGATTTTGATGACGAGGCTGGGATGGTCAGATCACCCAGGGTTTTTTTACTTGGATTTCAACGTGAGAAATTAGCGAGTTCACCAAGAATGAGCCCATGGGGATGTCCAAATATCTTAGGTCTACCTTGGCAAAGGGATTTAAACAACCATGAATGATGGGTAAATATATAAGTGTAAGATAGTGCAAGTCTGCGGTTATGTAAAGGTAGGGGATTTAACGTGGACTTGTCCAGACGTGGCGAAGAGCCACAAAAACATGTAGTTCTGATTGGGGTAAATTATGATAGACACTGGATTTTGGGGTGACGAATCATGGGAAAACCAAGGTTGGACATGTACATGGGTGAAGTCTGCAAACACGTCCACAGTCACAGAAGGTGCAGCCCCGAGCTATAATTTTATATGTAAGCCCCATTAGTTCATGCATATTTGTACCTCCCATAAACCGTAGTTCTACTGGTTATATCATGTTATATCTGGCTATTAACCAACTTAGTGATTGAAAACTGGGGCACCACAGAATCACATCCCCTTCAGAACATCTCAGCTTTGTCCCTGATTTTTTTAATGCCTAGGAGGGAGGTCCAGATGATGAGGATGAAGAGGATTTGGCTTCAGAACCTCAAGAGGACTGCTGTCCTGGAGGGCCCTGGTTTAGCTCCAGTGAGCCAAGTGGATATTTGACCGTGGTTAAAGAACCTACTATATTCTAACTGCAGTTATTGCCATTAATACCCAAATTGCACTCCCAAGTACGGTCTGAGGAACGGTAGATCTGTGCGGATTGGTGTCAAGTTGGCAGTGTTTGGTTCCAACCTGCCAGAGGGAGCCACCAATGCTTAAACTACCTTGGTTCAACATCTTACTGGCGGCTTAAGAAAGAAAACATTGTTTAGATGATTGCAACCCACTCGCCTGTGATGATCCTGTGGGTCCTTGTTTGCAACCGGGATATTGTTTGGTTTGGGCCTAAATTTCTAAATGATGTCCAAGTAGTGACCCCTTACCCCATTTGGAGTAATGGTTTGACTCCTAGAAAGGACATGTTTGTTGATGTGCCAAACATATGTTGAATTCCAATTGCATCAATCTCTTTCAAATACTGCATGATAGGGTCAAAGCTTTGTTCATGCCCATATTTACTTCATTTTCAGGGTTTCAATTTACCAAAATCCATCTGGAAATCAAAGCCAAAGATTTTACCCAATGATACACCACAGAATGGCTGATGATCACCAATTTTTGTTAATTTGTGTTGACGTAGTTACTATTTAAATGCATTTTTGCTGGTGGATTTCCCAGCCAACCATGTTAGATTAGCCTCTGGTAAACTAACATAGCTATTGAAAATGACCATAGAAATAATTGATTTGCCCATTAAAAATGGGGACTTTCTATAGCCATGTATCATTACTGGAGGATACCCTCTGGAAAACTAACATAGCTATGGAAAAATCACCATCGTTCATAGGTAAATCAAATATAAATGGTTTATTTTCTATAGCTATGTTAGTTTACCAGATGGTATTATCCATTATATCCCCTATAAATCCCTATAAATCCCCTATAAATCCCTCATATTTTGACCGCAACGTCTGTGGTACTCTTCTGGCTGCCACTCTCCACCGCTTCCTCCGCAGGACGTCGAGATGGCACCGCGTTTGGGCGGCAGCCGAGGCGGATCGAATCAGTTCCAAATCTCGGCCATTTTTTGGGCATTTACCAGCTGGATATATATATATATATAAATAATGTATATATACTTTTTTTTAATATATATATATACTGTATATTTATTTATTTATTTATATATGTTTTATTTATTTATATATATATATAGAAAATGCACACTCATTGTAATATATATATATACATATTCAGAGAAGGCAAGCTCAAAGGGGCTCGAATATAATGGGCATGCAATAAATATATGAGTATATGAAATATATCTATGTCTATACATTGATAACTCTATGTAAGGTTGCTTATACACGGATGCGCCCACTAAGAGCCATGACTAGATTGTATGCCCTTGTTTGCTTGGTGCAGTGTAAGGGATAGCATCATCACATCTATAGAAACCGGTTTTGTGGTTTTACAATGTTTTTTGAGATGCATGAATTTGGACACCCAGAAAGGTTCAGGTTTATGCGGTTTTGCAAAATGGGGGTGCCTAGACCCTCATCAACCCACCAAAAATGGTTGTTTTTTATCTCAATTGCTTAGTGATTTGTTACTACTGATGTACTTTGAGGGTCAAGGTACGCTCCGAATTCACTCTTTGAGGCTTAGGTCAGGCCCAAGGGAAGCGATTTTGGACATCCAGACGAAGCCCCACCAGGGTCGACCCATAATTTAATATATACATTTTTTGACAACCGGTCGACCTGCTCCAGGTAGCGATGGGGAGAATCGAGATTTGAGTGAGCCGGGATCGATGGTGCCTTGGAATGCGATTCCGTGTTCGTGGAATGGATCCCTGAAGCAGGACTCATACAGTTTTCCACCTCATCAGGACCCATACCCAGTGGTGTCCCATACTTTGCCAACTTGGTTTGTAAGTAGGGGAAACATGGGTTTATGGTGATTCGAACTATTGTGTTCTATAGCTAGGTGGGCTCATAAACCAAGTTATGACTGGGGGGCACCACCTCACATAATTGCTTGAACATTTGCGACTAATTAACTGTTAGAACTAGCAGATCTTCCAGGTCCAAAGGCCTGCAACACACGCATTCCAGTCATCGCGGGAATGGGTGCATCAACGCATAATGTATACTGTATAGTGATCTAGTGTCTTTTTATGGGTCACGTCAACGCACCAAGATGGGACATGGAGTAACTGGCTTATATCAACTCATATCCCCTTATGACATCTTATAACTGGATTATAGTAGGTCATAGCCCAGCTTTTTTACCCATCTAAGCAGCTCCACACAGCGTTCTGAGGTGAACAACTTCCAGAAACACCCTGAAACAATGGAAAGAACAGACATCATGAAATATGTACAGAAGATCACATGCAGTGCACCTATTTTTTCCTGTGTTTACATCATATTTCGCAATGTAGGTTTGCGCATGCATACATGTATATATACTGTACACATATACGTATGAATATGGATGTATATCATATACATACAATATATATATATGCATGCACTCATCCGCCAATCCAAAGTGCAAACATGGAGACCGTCAATGATGAACCTCAGGAAGAAGAGCTGCGCATGTTGGGACACCTGCGTGCCATGGAGCGGTTCTTGTGTGGATCTGACGGAACTTGGGAGAACTCAGGAATTGATCAAACATAATGGGGATTCAAAGCAAGAAAACAACCACAATAGGGATGTAAGTGGTATAATGGGGATATGATGAAAAAAGGTGCCTCCTTTGAGCTCGGACATTAGCCACTGCAGTCGTTGAATATGCCAATCAAAAATGGCAATGGCAAATCGCCCATTTGATGTATTGATATTGTTGATGATGGTGGTGGTGGTGATGATGATGATGGTGATGATGATGATGATGGTGATGATGATGATGGTGGTGATGATGATGATGGTGATGATGGTGATGATATCATATTGATATATGTGTTTATTCATGTGCAGTTGTACTTTTAACATCTTTTAACTATCAAAGGTTCATCGGCTGCCACTGGGTGTCGCGCTTCCAGGAGCAGATCATCTCGGAGGTCTTGGACCCTGCTGGACGTTCCAGGTCAGCAAATGGGATCGTTGTGGAAAACTGAGAGATACCCTTTGGTAATGATAGATTACTGGGACATCTATGGATGAAAACTATGGGTTTATGGTTATGAAACAACAGTTCTGCCTATCTGGCTGGTGGTTTCAAACATTTTTTCCATTTCATATATGGGATAATCCTTCCCATTGTTTCATATTTTTCAGAGGGGTAGGTCAACCACCAACCAGCTATGGGTTTGACAAGGTCTAAGTCTAAGGTTTTGTTGAGCCCAAAGTGCTGAAAAAAACATCTTCAAACAACGAGTTTTACGCTGGTTTTGACAATACCCTCGGGTAATGACTAACATAACTGGTTGGTGGTTTGGAACATTTTTATTTTTCTATATATATATTGGGAATAGTGATCCCAACTGACTAATATTTTTCAGATGGGTTGAAACCACCAACCAGATAAGTATTGAACATTGCCCAATTGATAGTTGATTTACCGACAAAAAATGGTGATTTTTCATAGTTATGTAAACGTTTACCAGGGGGTATCATCCAATACCCCTGATGATGAAATTTGATATGGACATTTCACAATTAATTAAGGCTACTTCAGGTGCATATGAATTTATAACCATCTATAGCCATTTTTTCTATCCACAAGTATTTGCAAAGCAGTTAAAGATGGAGGACACATGGATACGGATACGCATACCCGGTGGGAATCAAACTTGGCACGGGAAATGATCAATGTTCGTTTGGAAGCCATTGGATACACATGTCTTTTTGTTTTTGCTAGGTTTCATTGCTAGAGGTTACCCTTCCAAACTCATGTTGCTGAATATTTTGGAGTTCTTGCCTCAGTTTACCCAGTTCAGGTCTTCTAAAGCGGTTACTTATGGACCCAAATATCTTGTTTGAGCGATTCCCAACACTTTGTTCCCTGCCTGTGATGCTCACCGTTTCTCGCCTTTGTTCTGGGTGGAATGCTACTAGATGTGTCAGGTTTATGACCATCCTTCGAGTGACCCACATCTCCGTTGTCAATGGGTTACCCTCCAGAAAATGTATAGGTATGGAAAATTCCATCATGTATGCATCATGTCTATCAATTAAGTGGAGGGCATATCCGGACACACAACTCTTCTGTGCCAAAGGGCTCGCACTCCGCAACGTGGGTTTTGGTGATCTGGGCCGATTCCCAAAAATCAGATCAAAAACCAACCAATGAATGCGATATTGTCGACAATTGGTTTCAAAACGATATATTATACTATCTATATAAATTGCAATTTTAACTTGAAGTGATTGGTGCCCTCGTTTGTGTTCGTCAAACCGTCATTTTTTTTGATTATTCCTCAGCCTGGTCTTATGAGTTGTATTGGTGTGGTGTCTTAGACCCTCAGGCTCATATTTTAACCATAGAAGACTATACTTGGGTTGCATGTGGAGAATATAAGGGGTACAAAGCTTAAGGCACCAGCAATGCTCCCTCGAATGTGGTTTTTACATGTGTTTATCAGTTGTATCCCCATTTTTCTTTGGATCAATAACGATGTTTGTGGCTTGGATCAGTGATATCCCCGACGGGACGAAGCGAAGCCGCAGGCGGCGTGATGGTGAAGACTTCGCCTTGGGCGCGCCCATGGCGAGCCTTCGCATTCGCATGGGCGGCTCGGGAAGCTCAGCTGTGACGAAAAAAAAGCCCAGTCCTGGAGTCCTGGAGTCCTGGAGGTGTCCGTTTTGTGGGGCTACCCCCAAACATAAGCCAAGTACATCCAAGTACCATGACTTGGTATAGGTTATCCTTAGGTTAATCCATGGTGTCCAAAGATTGAAGCCCCTCATGTGTTGATGGTGGTTTAAAGTTGGCAAATGTTTCAAAAGAAATGGAGCACTAATATAGCTATGTGGTTATTCTGTGTGGCAATTATGTGTGGATTATTTTGATTTGCAACATCCACATTGTTTGGTTGCAATGAGTGCTCCAGTCTCTATGTTCTTTTCTGGGCTGCATGATCATGTTTTTGGTGGTGTTTGCGCTATTTTGATCTATTTTGCACTGTTGTTTCTTTGGGGGGTTGGGGGGGTTTTGTGGGGGGCTAAAAACGTTCTTGGCTGACCGTCTTACAAGATATGCTCTTGGACTTGCTGCTATGCTATCAACTCTCTCTTGCACTGTACCTTGGAACACGCTTTGACCTTCTTCTTGTAAGTTGTAAGACGCTCTTGATGCTACGCTCTTAACTTCTTCTCCTAACTTGCAACGCGCGTTGCACTATTTTGCACTGTTGTTTCTTTGGGGGGTTGGGTGGGGGTTTTGGGGGGGGCTGGTTTGGGGGGGCTAATAACGTTCTTGGCTGGCCGTCTTAAAAGATATGCTCTTGGACTTGCTGCTATGCTATCAACTCTCTTTTGCACTGTGCCCAGGAACACGCTTTGACCTTCTTCTTGTAAGATGTAAGACGCTCTTGGTGCTACGCTCTTAACTCCTTCTCCTAACTTGTAAGATGCTCTTGATGCTACGCTCTGAAATTTATCTTGTAACTTGTAAGACGCTCTTGATGTTACGCTCTGAACTTCTTCTTGTAAGTTGTAAGACGTTCTTGGTGCTACGCTCTTAACTCCTTCTCCTAACTTGTAAGACGCTCTTGATGCTACGCTCTTCACCTCTTCTCCTAACTTGTAAGACACTCTTGATGCTACGCTCTTAACTTCTTTTCCTAACTTGTAAGGCGCTCTTGATGTTACGCTCTGAACTTCTTCTCCTAACTTGTAAGACGCTCTTGATGTTACGCTCTACCAAGGTTACTGGAGACGGCAGGTCTCTGGAAGTCTGTTCCATAAACTTGGTCTGTGTGCAGAAACTCGCTGACCGCCGAAGAAAAAAGGGGGTGCTACAACTTGCGCAGTCAGGTTTGATGACCCTCGCGGTGTTTTCAACAGAAAGAAATCATTTTTTGACCGCGTTACACGGAATTTGAATTGTCATGTATTTGAGAAATTTCATCGATGTTCTTGAAACACCCACGAGGGTTGCAAATTCGCATGGGATGTTTGAAAACTGCTAATTTTAAAGTTGACAACACTCCAGCGCTCCTACGGGCGACCGGACCTTGTTTTTTACGGAATGCGTGGTGTTGATATGTGTTGGTTGGTCTATGTGACCCAGTTCTAAAGTGCACCCACTGCACCAGGAAGGGATAATCGAAAGTGGTGAGGAAAGTCCACCGCATTTCCTTTAGCCCCCACCACCAACGTATTGCACCCGCATGCACCCGCGATTTTTTTAAAAAAACATCAGCTAGGTTCGCAATTTGAAATCCTTTGGGTATAATTAAGTTGTTTCATGCTGTTTCTAAACACATCTAAGTGTAGACATGTTCAGGGTGGACTCTTGTTAGCTTAATTATAAGCCAATCCATCTATCTACACTACTATTGGCTGCTTGAACCCTTTTTTGATTGCTTAAATGTACATTAACGTGTTAGGTACCAATTTTGAACAAACCAATATGGAGGTTTCCATAAATGGAGATGAGATACCACATATACTGGAAAAAACTCATGAAAATGGATGATTGAGGGGTACCCCCATGACTCAAGAAACCTCAATATGTTCACTGAACTTGCTGGAAATCCCGAGTTCGTTCAATCATGAACCACCCAATGATTCCCTTGGACTTCAGGTGGTCTGAGACTTCCCGTGGGGTGGCACAGCGGTGCGGCATTGTGTTCTGATGAAATGACGCGTAAATCCAGCATAATCCAACAACATGCGGATGTCACCAGAAAAAACGGGGATGGAATTATCAAAACTTGTGATTTGACAATCAAACACCAGGAGTAAACCCATTGTTCTGTTTTTTTGTTTAACCACTGAACTTGGGGATTAAATATTTAAATATCAGGATTGCTCTAGGGAACTGAGATCCACAGGTGGAGGAAATGTGGTGCCTTATGTTTGTTTATATTGATGCCACCGCAACCAACAACTATAGACAAACAGGGTGATTTCAGCAGCAACAATGCGGGTAAATATTTCAGGCATGATGTTTAAAGTGGGGACGTTGCACGTCAGGAACTGTGCCCGCGATAGGTTCTTCAAATGTTGGACCAACTGTTTTTAGGTCAACTCTTAGATATGAAATAGATATGAATAATTCATATGATTGAATATGTACGTTTCCTACTGAAAACGTGGATAGTTACTACCTACCTTAATGGAATTTTCGGTCGGCCAGTCATGGAAGCATTGGATCCTCTGGCATGTCCTGGCTATCCGCTTCCGAGGTGGAAGGCATGAGTCAGATTCGCAGACAAAAAGGCCAGCCATTGCGTTTCGGCACAGGCAGGTCACTTCAAGCCATAAATATATTTCGATATGTGACAGAATTAATGAATCATATTGATGAATTAATCTCATATTACACAAGACTTTATGAAGGACATAAATCCTCATATTTAAAAAAAACGACATCATACTACATCTACATTTCGATCTCATTTCGTGAGCAGCCTGAAGGACTCGTAGACGGTCGCACAGGATTTACAACTTAAATTTTGGCTGTTTTGAACAACCGGGGCCACCGAAGAGAGGTCGTGATAAGACAGGTCAAGTCGCTAATGTCATAAAAATTCCGGCGGGTGGGAAACCGCGCTTGCGGTTGAGCACATTTTGAACAAAAAGGTCTGGCACTGTGGCGCCGTGCGCAGCACATTTATATATGCACATTTTATAAGTCATGTTTCTATGAATTTTCCCTGGGAAAATCGAGTAATGTTGAAGTGATTTCATGGTATTTACAAGGTTTTCTAGCTTTGGGATGATGGTCGCTTTTCACTTCTGCACAAGCCGCTTCAGTCTGCCAAGTGTTTGCTTTGCAATTGACTTGAGATTGCAAGTAACATGAACGTTATTGCCCCACCCCACCCCACCCAAACCCCAAGCCATGACGTAGCCCTAGCGTAGCATCACCTGAGATTGCAAGTAACATGAACGTTATTGGCCCACCCCAGCCCACCCAAACCCCAAGCCATGACGTAGCCCTAGCGTAGCATCACTTGAGATTGCAAGTAACATGAACGTTACTGGCCCACCCCACCCCACCCAAACCCCATTTTCAAAAAGTGGCACGACTACACGCGCAGTTTTCCACCATCGAGCATAAATATCATGAGGAAATATATGGAAATATGAATAATGTGGGTAAACAAAGATAAAAGAATGCCATAAACCATCCCCCAGTCATCGCCCTTTTATAGGTGGTATATAAAAAAAAAATCCCAGTCATGGGTGGTTTATGGCATTGTTTTACCCACATTACTGAATTGAAATTGACCCTCCACTAGTCAACATTCCAGCTTTGACTTCCCTGCTGAAATATGTCCGTGTTGCTGGGTTAAAAACGGTGAGATCACAATTATTTTGTTAGTGCACCCCCGATGCAATTGTTGGTCAAGCAGCACTTTTTTGCTGGTAAAAATCCATTCTTGTCGGCTGGATCCGTTTTTTTTAATCGAAGGAAGTTTAGAAGTCAAACTTCCGACAATATGGACAGATGAAAAGCAGAGTAGGGCAGAGGCAGAGAGAAGAGAAAGATTAGAAGAGAGAAGAGTAGAAGAGAAAGAGTCAGAAGAAAGAAGATGCAGATGCGCGAAAAAGTAAGAAAGTCGCGAAACACAGTGTTTTTCCAATGATTTGTGGCTCCGGAGGGTCGAAAAGTAGGCTCGCTAAAGCGGCGAGTGCGGAGCCAGCTGGCCAGATGAGAGATGAAAAAGTGCACGCCGTTGTGGCGCGAAGCACATTTCGAAGTCAAAATGTACAAAGCACACCATGGTCGGAGCACTTTTGGAAGTTGCGATGTCGAAAAAGTGCACGCCGTTGTGGCACGAAGCACATTTCCAAGTCAAAATGTACAAAACACCTCAGTGTCGGAGCACTTTTGGAAATTGCGATGTCGAAAAAGTGCACGCCGTTGTGGCGCGCAGCAGATTTCCAAGTCAAAATGTACAAAACACACCATGTATGGACCGCTTTTGGAAGTTGAGATGTTTAAAAAGTGCACGCCGTTCTGGCGCGAAGCACATGTGGAAGTGAACATGTACAAAACACACCATGTACGGACCATTTTTGGAGGTTCAGATGTCGTTTCGCGTGGCAGGCGCAAGGGATTGTGGACCTTGTCAAAAGTGAGCAAAACGTGAGGGTTTTGTAGCATTTTCAACTACAACCACCACTACACTACACTACACTCCAATACGTTACACCACACTACAACTACAACTACAACTACACCTTCACTACATTCTACTACACTACATTACACTCCACTACACTACACTGCACTCAATTACACTCAATTACACTACATTACACTACACTCCACTACACTACACTACATTGCACTACATTACACTACACTACACCACATTACACTACACTACACTACCTTCCACTACACTACATTACACTACACTACACTCCACTACACTACACTTCACTACAGTACACTACAACTACAACTGCACACAGCATTTCCAGAAACGATGGCAGGCGTGGGGCGTTTGAAGAGGATCTTCAAAGATGCATGTCGCGTGGCAGGTGCAGTACAAAAGACATGTTCATCAGAGATGTTCGGAGGTCAGGGCGCTCATTTCCTGAGAAGGGGTTGCATTTTGGAGTATCAGATCTTCAGGTTTGCTGAGATGATTTTGCGTGACAGGTGCAGCACGTCGTATGACCTGGCATCAATTTTTCGTGGCAGGCGCAGTACTTTACACAGGTGGAGTGGAAAAATCGCAAAACGCATTGGTACGAGGCTCCCAGCGCTGCACTCAACTTTCCATTTTTGACGTTGTTAAGTTCAAACATTGAAGACGTCTCGCAGAATTGCTGCGGTTTCTGTCGTTGTTAGGTTGAAAAATAAAAGAAGTGTCGCAGAATTGTTCTGTTTTGATGTTGTTAAGTTCGAAAAATGAGGAAGTCTTGCAGAAGAGCTTCGTTTTCAATCTGGCAGATAGACAGATAGACAGACAGACAGAGATAGATAGATAGGTAGATAGATAGATAGATCGAAAGGTAGTTAGATGAGAGAGAGAGAGATAGATCGATAGATAGATAGATGCATAGATAGATAGATAGATAGGTAGGTAGGTAGGTAGGTAGGTAGATAGTCAGAAAAAGGGAGAGAAAGAGAGGAGACCTCAACCACCTTTCGGTCCATCAGTGGCTTCACTCTGCCATCCCTGATTCACAACAACCAATCTCTCCTATAGGTTTCCTATTTTTGAAACTTCCGCCACCGCCTTGTGCGGTACTACTGGTAATCAAACTAGAAAAGTCCAGGTTTGAGATCTATAGATCATCCAGGTTTGCTAGTTCGACCCCCGTTCTCGTCGGCAAAAAAAAGCAAAAAATAAAGTCACAGACCAGTCTTGTTTATACTGCCATGTTACAGTTTGTTAATTTGAGGATGGTTTCACTTAAAATACTGCAATGATCCCATGGTTTGTTCCATTCATATCCCATTGTTATATATTGTTATCCCATAAATGGTGGACCCAAGCATTGTCCAGCTTCCTGGGAGGCCACATAGGGCACTAGTACCCAACTTGGGTAACAAACAATATACTATCCCATATCATTCCATAGAAATGGCACACCTGGTTGTCTTTCCCAAGCGTTTTTCTTCAACAATGTTACCAGAAATGGGTGAAAATATGGGAATATCAGATTATATATGGTCCCGTGTCCCGTGTTCCCACCCCCCCATGGGATTGGTCCCCGGGTAGCACCCCCTTCCCTTGCAAGCTATTGGCAACATTTCTGATTCCAGCCTCGTATTTGCTAGGTCTTTGCACCATTTCTGACTACCAGCCTCGCATTTACTAGGTACATGCTACCTTTTAGACAACCTACATAGCACATAAACTCCCTCAATGTACCTACGTGCTACCTATAGCCATATACATGTGCTATGTATCTATATACATCCTTTTCTCAACATATATATATATATATATTTGTGTACATATATATATATATTTGTATTTACATATAAATATATAAGTGTATATATATATATAGTATATGTATTTATGTTTATACATATATACACATATGTATATATATATATATATACATAGAGGCATATACATCAACAGATATACATATACATACATTTATCATACATACATGCATACATACATGCATACATGAATACATACATACATACATACATACATACATACATACATACATACATACATACATACATATATACATACATACATACATATATATATATATGTATATTTACATATTTAAATATATACATACACATACTTATATATATACACATATACATATATATCTAAATTCACATTTACATATATATATATTCTCAATATTTTCATACACATACATATTTACATACATATTCATTTTTTTACACACACACATATATATATATATTTATACACATATACATACATATGTATATATATATATACATGCATACATAATAATAAAAATATATATAGAGAGATAGAGAGATAGATAGATAGATAGATAGATATATGGTCCAGCGTTCCACCCCCCCCCCGACAGTACCACACCCCCACCACACCACACCGGGGGAGGGGGACTGTTATATACATACATACATGCATACATACATGCATACATGCATACATACATGCATACATACATGCATACATGCATACATGCATACATACATACATACATGCATACATACCACCCATCACCAACATCCCAAACACCCCACCACCACAGGCCACAGGGGGGAGGGGGGGAACCATAAGAAGCAAGACTGGCCAACCATCACCAAAATCCCAAACACCCCACCACCACAGGCCACAGGGGGCAGGGGGGGAACCATAAGAAGCAAGACTGAACACCCATCCCCATTTGGGGGAGGCACATATTTAAGGCATCAATTAAAAGATATTTAAGGGATCAAAAAAAAATTCTTCGCTGGTGCAGTGTTTTGACCATTTGATGCCATTTTCAAATCTTGTGGTCTTTGAATCTCCCTGTCCTTCAGTCCTCTCCCTTGGTCCCCTGGTCCCTTGGTCCTTTGGTCCCTTGGTCCTCTGGTCCCTTGGTCCTCCGGTCCCTTGGTCCTTCCGTCCTTTGGTGGCTCTGGTGCCTCAAAACATTTTGAAGATAATCCTTAATTCAACCAACCATAAAAAAAAACAAAACTTAAACCCCTAAACTACCCCCCAAGCCAAAGTAAGTCTTAAACGAATCCTAAGCCAACCCTCAATCAGCCCTAAACTAACCCCAAATAAACCCTAAACAAATCTTACATAAACCCGAAACGAAACCTAATCGAACCTTAAAGAACTTGTAAGCGAAACCAAAATCAACTTGACACCAATCGCAAATAATCCCTAAACCAACTCCAAATAAACCCTAAGCCACCCCTATAAAACCATAAGCCAACCGTAAATAAACCCTAAATAAATCCTAAGCAAACCCAAATAAACCACAAACTGACCCTACATAAATCTTAAACCAACTCTGAACCATTCTGAACCAACCAGAAATAAATCACTAAACCAACCTTAAAGACACCGGAAAAAAGACTTACATAGATTTTAGACACCCAAATTACCCCCTAAACCAACCCTAAAGAAACCCTGAACCAACCCTAAATAACACCTAAACCACGAACCAATCCCAAATACATCCTGAATCAACCCTAAATAAACTTCGAGCAGCACCTACACAAATCTTAATACCAACCCTAAACAAACCCTAAAACCAACCCTAAATATACCCTAAACAAATCCTAAACCAACCTTAAATAAACAAACAACCAACCGTCAATAGATCCCAAACGAAACCTAAACCACGAAGCCTTGAACGAAATCAAAACAAACCCTAAACCAACCCTACATAAACACCAAAAAAAATTAGATAACTTGAATGAATATTTGAACGAAACCTAAATAAACCTTTTACCAACCCTGAATAGACACCTAGTAAACCATAGGCCAACCCTAAACTAACCCTAAACCGACCTAAGTCAACGCAATAGGCACCGAATGCATGTGCTGTCGAAACGGCAGCGTCGAGCCCTGCGAATGCTCGATTTCTAGGTCCACTGTCCTACAAAAACCTTACGGACGAGATGCTCCACTTCCAAAACGATGCAAGTACCACAGAAATGCACGGTTTTGTCTCCAAACTGGTGCAAGAGCCATAGAAAACAAGGGATTCCAGGGGAATATGTGTTTTAATGATGCCTTATTTTTTTTGATCCCCACGGGAATACTTTTTTTGATGCTTTAAATGTATTTTTGTTTGATCCCTCACCCTTGGGGGGAAGGGGGGAGAGGGAAGGGTGGGGGCTGGCCGACGTTGAACCATAAGCATAAGCTGATATCATAAGCATTCTTCCCATTGGTAGAAATTGATGTGATCCCATCATATCCCATTTTCTCCCCCCTGCAGTCGCGGTGCGCCAGGCATCGCGACGGAGCCGTTACGTTGGGAGTTCCCCTCCTTCGTGCGCTCGGCCGATGCCAGCAGCGCCACCGCCACGCTGGACTATTTCCGGATTTCATGTGTTTGTATGGGGCTCACGGAGATTTCATGGTGGTTTTATGGGATGCAAGGGGATTAAATAGTGTTTTATGGGATTAATTGGATTTGTTATTTGGGTGTTCTGGGATTTTCTAGGATTTACCACGGTTTTATGATGCTTTTCTGGAATTGAATGGGATGTTATGGGGACATCTTAAGGAGATGCAACCAACAATTCGGGAAAATCCCTGAACTGAATGGAGGTTTTAATCGGAAATTCATCTATAAATCTATAAATCGCTGATTATTTTCCATTGCCATGTTTGATTGCCGGAGGGGAAATTGGTTCATGGCGCCCGTTAACTGTAGAATTTACAGGTATGCATTGTATCTACCATAAATCCCAATTTACCTTGTTGTAAACCAACTTAGCTAAGTATGTATGTGGCACATTGTGGCACCACTTTGCAATGAGGAGACCCCTTATTAGGATTTTTAGGGACAAAAGTGGGCAATGGGATATTGTGCCCCCATCTTGGATTATGCAAAATTACCACCAACTTGCTGGTTGGTTTACCGCATCAATCTTTCACAGTGTTCAGCATGGGGGTTGAGTGACTTGGTTTAAGGGAACATCTACGGGAAGCAATGTTTGGGAGACTGAAATAGCCAAACTCATCCAAAACATGCTTATTCCCTTCCAAAATGTTTAATTTCACTTGGCAAAAGCCACAGACAGTGGTATATTGCCCCTTTCACACGCGTGAGACGGACTTGAAAATCGTGGTTTGAATGTTGTTTTTCATGTTCTGGCAGGTTTGCTTTCACATGGTTGGTCTAAGTGTTTATGTAACCTAATGTTGATATTCAAAACAAGATTGTGCTGCAATCGTGCTGCAAAAACATTTTGACGAGAACTTTGCACACCCTCTTGAGAAGCCCGGCAAAGGAAAAACTGACAGACACACACACACATATATATATATATACCTAACTAGCCGAAAAACTTGCCTTATGACCTTCGCAGTACATGCCAGCTTTGGCTAAAACCAGGTCGTTTGTTCGCCTGAAACACTCGTTGGGCATGTCACAAAGCATATTGAAGCATCGGGTTTTTACCAGAGAAACTGCGGAGATGAGAAAGAAGGATGACGGTGATGTTTATTGAAGATTACAAGGTGGTGCCACACTTTGTAAGCTGAGTGGATAGGTAGATTAAGTAGGTCTGGTGATAGATATGCTGTAGATCTATAGTTTATGGGGGTTGCAAACCAGTTTTTAATTCAGGGCGCTACCTTGTAGACCATGTTCTATTGCCTTGTTTGTTGACTGGTGCCGTGGTTTCACTGAGAATGGTTCTCAATAAAACAGCAGCGTTTTTGAACAAATGGGAGCTCTCAGAAATATTCTAGGTTCATCTCAACGTATGCTGCGTCTTTCTGTAGGGCATGTTACCCCTCCAGTTGATCAATCGGGCCTCCCAAGAAAAGGAAGGGTGAACAGAACAGGGCCTTGTAGGTTGCGGTCCGACGTGCCTTAAATGGCTACACGTACTCCGTAAAAGTTGTTTGGGTAGTTCTGATAGTTGTTGCCAACAATAAATAGGAATGTATTACCCATGGACCCATGTACTACCCGGCAGAAAAGAATGCGATGTAGTTATGCAGACCAACCAAACATTTCGTCCCAAGAAGCGACTCAGTGGGTCACCTTGTCACATTGTCACATTGCCACTGGGCACTCTATATGGGTTTGATGGTTTGATGTACCCAATGGCTCAATCCGAATTTGTGGATTGCGCACCAAAGCAATACGAATTGATCAGGGAAGATGATTTCATGATCACTGTCCGGCCAACAAACAATGAAATTATCAAGGGTGAGTTGTACGAGGGATATTTTCCCGGATGAAGTGTGGCCAGACCACTGAACAGATCATTAAAGATTACTTATCGCTCGCCGAACGGGTTACGTATCTCGCCCAGTGGAGATGCATTCCAACCCACTGCACTCACATGGTTGCCTTGGATCAATTTAAGATCGTCAGAAACCTCCGTGTACACAATTTGAAAGGGCTAGACTGAGTCGTAGAAGCTCAACCTGGGGTTTGTACGAACATCAATTCTTGCGTAAAAGATATCATGCCTTCTGGCACGCGCTGTTCCTATGCGTTTTGGATCAAACCTATGGGTATAAGCTTCGCGTAAGTCTTTTGGTGTTCCTGCCCGCTGCGTGGATCACAGTGTGTGAGTGCGTTGGCTCTGGCGCAACTACTGCAAAAGCACTGTTTGTTTGTGTTTATTAATTGCCCGCCTTTACTTCTGAAAATGGTACCTACGACCTAATTTAAAAATCATGGAAGTATGACCACCTCGAAGATCATTTCCAGAATGATCAAAAAATGCATAAAAACTTTTCCATCACTTGCTTGGTGCAAAACAGTTTGGTCTATTTACGTATGCTCCACATGGTTTCCGTGTCAGTGTCACTAGTGCTTGAAGCCATCAAACATCCATGTCTCCCACCCTCATGCCGTCATCCATGGATCTCCGAAGGTGCCCCATTACAAATCCTCCAAACAAGCACCCTAATTGAGCCCCGCTCAATTCCTGTCGGAAGGGTTGCCTTATGTTACCTTCAAGGGGGCTTTTGGCAATTTTCAAAAACTTTTGGATGCTCATTGTTGTTTGCTCTGCCCATGAATTTTCTGATGCATCGGGATCTGTTTGCATTGTTTTCCGCATTTTCTCATGGAATTTCAAAGCAAGTTCCATCCATTGAGTGGAAATAGAAACAAACAATGTTTCACATGCCATTGAAACACATGTTTGAGAATTAGTTGAAAGATCCAATGTAATTAACAATTGTGAAATAATTTGAAAAATAAACCCCGTTCACGCGATGGCCCATTCCCCAAAAGGACTTGCCATAATTCATCGTCCAATTATTGCACCATTGGTTTAGATTTGTGTTTGCGTTTTAGGACCCAATGAATCTTATGAAATGTTTTCTATTTGTGACCTGGCACATTACCAAAGGGAACTTCCGACAATTCATGCCCCAATTGAATCCGAGTATGATACCGTTGCTTATGATTTGTGGCTTCGGACTATGAACCGCTTTGAAACGTATGAAATGTCAGCCAGGCTCGGCCAGCAAAATTCTGCATGAAATCGCGCGTTACCAACAGTAACTTACCACAGTTCATCTAGCAATTAAATCCCATAATGCCACCATTGGTTTTGATTGATTTGTGAATTAAGTCGGTGACCCACTTTGAAAATTATGAAACGCCCGCTGTAAATATTCCTCTTCTGAAATTCTGAAGTGGTGCAATACCACAAGGTACTTGCCATGATTTGCCTTGAATTGGCTGAACCCCTTATATTGAAGGGTAAAACCCGTTTTTTCCTGTAGATGTTCCTTTACACGAACCATTACTACCCACCGTTCATCATAAATTCCCAAGATAAAATGCCCATATTGGGTTCTTGCCATGGTTGTATACACACATTATTAGTACAATGCGGCAAACCCAACCATAAAAACCATACATGGGTTGGATTCCAACCATCAATGGAACTTTATCATTGTGATTGGGTGTATGACGGTGTATGATTGATTTCCCCAGCTATAAACCTCCATTTTTGGATGGAGATTTTCCAGGCCATAGCTAGCCATGTTTGATGATCGGAGGACCATCCCGTGGTGGAACGTTTGGGTGTCTCAGACCTCAAGGCTTGTGAAGGCGGGACGTAGATGGGCAGCTGGGTGATTTTCCGTGGGTTGACGGTTGACAATTTCAAGAATAACATGGGTATATAATGGGTATAGTTATATATGTTATGTACAGTAATGCATAGTTTCAAAACAAAAGAGTGTTCATCGAATTCAAATGCCAAACCATGAGATGCAGGTGTTTATATAAACGGCGTGAACGCCATAAACAAATATAATGAACTAGCCTATATATGATGATTGCTTGATACCTCCTGTATAATGTCACAATCCATGAACTTGGACAGGTTGAACCTCGCACATTACACATGGTTGCGTAAGGTTTTTGGACTATCAAACATCATGATTGAAACCACAGAAACTGCGGAATCAATCATAAGCACTATAGGTAAACCAGTTGGTGTGATGGGCGGTTTAATACTTACAGTTGTTTTGTTGGAGAGGAGGACATCCACTAACCTTTCTCGAAAGGTATTTGCACTTGACCATGAAAGCAGGTAAGCTTGGGTATGATACATGTTTTGTTTCCAGAAAACTGGGCATATTTTTGCTCCCAGATTGAAAAAATGTAGAAAGGACTGGGTAAACAAACAAGCAAATGAGGGGATGAATTGTGGGGCATTGCGTAGTGGTTAGGTGCTCAAACATGGCAGTTGTCAGAATTCCATGTTGGATTCGGGGGCATGTCCTTGTTGTTGGCTCCGACGTTTGGTATGGGTGATATTATGGTGGTTTAGATCTAAGTTGTTTGAAACCAGAGTTCTGGGTGGCATATTCATATTCTTTGGTAATTTAACATTGTTATGGAACATATGCATGTTTCATTTATAAATCATCTATCTGTAAATGTGCAATTCTCTTCAGCTATGTTAAATTGCAGCTTAAGAAGATGATTTGCCCATTGAAAGCTGCAGTTGGTTGGGTAAATTGTTCATATTTTCTAGATAAAATCAGTTAGACTATATAACATTATATATACATGGCCATGGTCTCTTTATCAACATCCTAATGTTTACCGTTTATAAACCGTTTATAAACCGTTTATATGTATCATTGAATGCTTAATTTGATTTTTGTGTGTATTGAATTGCAGTAATCCCTGGGTAATCCATTGGTTTGATTGAAAATGGGGCACCCCAAATTCCGATGGATTTTCGTGATTATCACCATTCAACTTTCAACACCTGACGTATCTCACCAGTCAATGGCCATTCGGAAAGGTATTACACCAATTTCAGGCAGACCCAAATATCACGTTGTCTTCAGATGTCAAAGCGTGCTCTTCGCTGCATGTGAGATCCAACAAGCCACGAATGCACAGGTTTCGACAATGCAGATGGAGCTGCAGAGTGTGATCCTGACT